AAATACCACTTCTCGGGTATTTCAAAGGTATTTCCCACATTCTCCTCATGTCATCACAAAAAAAAAAAAAAAAAAAACCTATCCAGGCATGATGCCATGATTAGTATTCAGACGTTGTGTAGGACTCCCCTACCACATTCAAGAACTTGCCTTTTTTCCTCTTTGTTTTTTGGTGGCTGGATGTTGAAATAATTGATTTGACCTACTTTAACATTTGTCATTAGTCATCTGCAAGTTTATCAGCCGCGGTGCCTTTAATTACGGCGAAGAGACAAATTAATCATCTGTAGGCTCTGGTCGCTCTCATGGGGAGAGGGATTTCCCTTTACCGCCGTCAGGACTATTAACACAATAACGAAAAAGCAATTAGATTGACTTTTAGAAATGGCAGTCAATTACACTGACTGGAACTAGATTGTTGAGTGTCCGATAATGTAGCTTTCCGCTAATAAAAACAAGCATCCCCACCACCCCTCTCACTTAAGCAATGCAGGATGACCCAAAAGCACTGGTTTAGGGGCACTCTATCTACCTGGAGTCTATTTTCAAGGCGAGACGGCATTTGTGGTGACTCTAATAACCGGCCATCAATGAATGTCATTCATGGGTATATTAAGGCCACTGAAGGGTAGGGGAGGATGATTTGAATCCTCATTATGGCTTCTAGCCTGTGATGTTTTCAGAATTTCAAGATTAATAAGCCACAACAAGTCTGGTTCCATGTTTTCAGTGCAGCTGACGTTATCAGGTCAAGTTTCTTAAGCTAATAGCTTTGATCTTAATGTGAATAATGAGGATTTTATTTCTAACACACACAGATAAGTATACACTTTTAAATTTATACTAAAGATTTATACTAAAGAACTATACAACTATATGTGAAGTCAAGTGGGAAATTGAGGGTGATATTATGTAGTCTTTTTCCTAATGTTTTAGAAGATTTTTTACTGGTGCTGTACACTTTAGAATAACAAAACTGAAGTTTGTTCTGTTTGATGTACTCCATTACACATGCTGACTCTGAGATATATAGGTGGTCATGTTTATGCAAATGATCAAGCTTTCTCAAAGTAAACATATCCGTTTGTTTGGTTTTTACCAGAAACAAGGTTATTTTTGTTTTATTCATTGCATATTTTCTCTTACTGATCTAGAAAAGCATGAGAATTCTTACAAGGAAGCCATTGGCAGATTACAAGCTAAATCAGGCCTGGTTATTTTAACCGAATTGCTAAAAAAAAGGGATTCCGTGATCAAACACTGGCCGCTTTCCATCTCCTTATGAAAATTTGTAAGGCATAGCATTACCATGTTGCTTAGTAATCTCTCTTTTAATTTCTTAAATTAAAAATTAAATTAAAGTGTTGGATATAAATATTGGGCCCCACTTTATATTAAGTGGCCTTAACTACTATGTACTTACATCAAAAATTAAGTACAATGTACTTATTGTGTTCATATTATATTGCAAAACACTTTTGCTGCTATTTGTGGTATACCCACCACTGTTGTTAGCTTTTGATTCAATAAATTGTTTGAGATGAAGAAATTACCATTTCATGCTTCTACTTAAATGCCCTACTTTCATGATATAATATCACTGTAGCATGAACTTTTTACATTTTCCATAAATTTTATCCAAAAGTTGAATATCCCTAACTTTTTGTGAGAAGTATATGCGTGTGTGTGACATTAGTGTTGTCATTGTTTACTCATTCTTTAATGTGTGTATATATATATATATATATATATATATATTATACATTTCAGATGTCTGCT